AGCACTGCCAAGACTGAGGATGGGGTATTGTTTCTACTTATATTTGAGAAGAATCCTCAATACATTTACAGTCAGCTTGAGCTGCTACAACAAAACACCGTAGACTGGGTGGCTTATAAACAACAGAAATTTATTTCTCATAGTTCTAGAGGCTGCAAATCTGAGATCAGGGTGCCAGCACAGTTAGGTTCTGGGAAGGGCCCTCTTTCAGGTTGCAGATTTCTTGTTTTGTCCTCACACAGCAGAGAGCAGAGCAGAGCAAGCAAGTTCTCTCGTGACTCTTGTAAGGACACTGAACCCCCTCGTGAGGACTCCACCCTCATGACCTCATCTAACCCTGACTCCCTCCCGGAGGCCCCACCTCCTAATACCACCACATTGAGGACCAGAGATTCAACATATGAAGGTGGGGGGATGTAAACATTCAGTCTATAACAGAGTGATGATTGTAATCTCTCCTGAGCTGAGAAATGAACAGGGGAGGAGTCCATAGAAATTCCTCCTCCAGGTCAAGAATAGGAAGCCACGGTTTCAAGGCTGATGGGCAGCAAGATGCTCAATGCGGCATCTTTTCCTTTTCCAATATGTGGATCTTTTGACCCCCAGGTCCCATCTATTACCCCAGCAGCTGGTTCTCGTTCCAGTGCCTTCCACTTACACAAGGTACAACTGTTTTGCAGCTGGAGGGGTAAATACTTCACCTACTGTTTTGCCTTTGGGGTAAACACGTGATATAAGACGGGAGACACCAGGTCAGGGCGCAAGCTTCTACCCCTGCTCCTGCCGATGAAAAAGTTAAGAAGGTAACTGTGCCTCTCCTTTCCAGTACCGGATACACGGATGCCAGAGCTGTCTGCTTCAGGCTAAATGGAAAGTTTCACTGTAACCAGAGCCTGCAAATTCAATGGTGCATTTTCTTCCCCACACTGAGCTAATGAAGAGGACATCTTAACACTCCGCCTCACCCATCCCAAAACCAACCCCATGCTTTTATAAATAAACTAACTATATGTAAATAAAATTTGAAAACATATATTTTAAACAGGTAAGATTATTGTTCCAAATACTGGAACTATTTTCCTCCACTGTTAATCGAGACGTTTCTTCCATTACTAAGCCAGAATTCCCTCCCTGGCTTTGGGCTATATTTTTCTCTCCACTGCACTGCTTACCATTTAACATCCTATATATTTTAATCATTTTGTTGATTGTCTGCTCATAGCATCCCTACTAGAATTAAGGTGACTATATTATTTATCATCCAAACCAAGACACTTTGGATAGTACAGGGAGTACTAATACAGATTATGCCAGGACAAGAGGTAAAAATGGCAATGATCCTGAGTAAATGGAAGGTCTGGTCGCCCGAGCTACAAGGCGAGTTCTAAGCATGAGCTCTGAGTGGACTGCACGACTTTGAACTCTGGCTCCACCAATTACTTACGTTATTTCCCTTGGGTAATTTACTTGACCATCATAGGCCTAAATTTCCTCATTTGTCTTACGGCAATTATAATAATAACCCCTGACCCCCATGGTTGTGTGGGAATTAAATGGGATCATCCACAGTGCAATGCTGGGCACAGGGTCTGACAGACTACAAGAGTGAGCACTCAGAAACGCTGGCTGCCATCGTTATTATCTGTCATTCCAAGACTCTCTCAAGAAGGCATGTACAGCAGATGGTTAACACACGGTCTACCCGGCGCCCCGTCAACATGACAACAGTAGAATCTGCCTTGTATCTACAGGATGCCTGGCCATGCCCAGCTGACTCGAATGGACCCCTGGCGTGAGCCTGGCCTAGCCAAGCTCTCCCCTGGGATTCAGGGAGCAGCTTTTTCCTACAGGTCAAAGACGTGGGGTCTGTAGCCCTCATGTGAGCAGCAGCCACGTTTCCTATTCTACAGAGAAAGCCGGTCCAGAGAAAGAAATGACAGCTGACACAGAGAATGCTGAGGGCAGAGGAGAGGGCTGGGGGCACCTGAGTCCAGGTGGTAGCTGATTCTGAGGCCTGGCTGCATTTCTGCTTTTACCCAACCCTTTGGAGGCTCTATGAGCCAGGAACTTCTTTGGGCCAAGCTATTTCAAGCTGCCAAGGGTAGCCAAAAGGGTCCTGACAACAGCACACTAATATATAATTGATTAAAAAAGAAAGGGATGGGACTTCCCTGGTGGCGCAGTGGTTGAGAGTCCGCCTGCCGATGCAGGGGACGTGAGTTCGTGCCCCGGTCCGGGAAGATCCCACGTGCCGCGGAGCGGCTGGGCCCGTGAGCCATGGCTGCTGAGCCTGCACGTCCGGAGCCTGTGCTCCGCAACGGGAGATGCCACAACAGTGAGAGGCCCGCGTACCGCAAAAAAAAAAAAAAAAAAAAAAAAAAAAAAAAAAGAAAGGGATGATAAGGAAGAGAAGATGATAAACATTTATGCACGCTCACCCGGTGCCAGGCACTGTGCTAAGGACTCTACTTGCGTACGTTATCTCATTTGTTGCTCACAGCCACACTATGTGGTGGGGACCATATTTATTCCCACTTTGTAGATGTGAAAGCTGAGTCTCAGACGCCCAAAGGAATCTTCCCAAGGCCACACAATTAGTTTGGCGGGTGGCATTGCTGGCTCCCTAAGCCCTTGTATCCCAGGTGATTAATCTAAGCCAATTAATGTATAGTACCCTCCCAGTGCATGTTAGTAGACCAGGAATGGGAGTACGTCCTACAATGGCCCAATGAAACTGGAGGGAAGGACTCATATTCCATGGCTGGGTTTTCTGCCTTTCCTGCTTCGAGGAAAGCTGATGTTAAGTTTAAGAGGAAGCTGACGTTAAAATCGGCATAATGGTAGAGTGGTCAGATAAAATATAGGATGCCCAGCTCAATGTGAATTTCAGATAAATAATCAATAATGTTTTAGCATAAGTATGTCGTGAATATTGCAATGGTACATACTCTTATACTAAAAAAGTATTCATTGTCTATCTGAAATTCAGATTCACCAGGGTATCCTGTATTTTTCTTTGCTAAGTGTGGTAGAGAGGAGAGAATGAGTACATGATGACAGTACAGCACCTGAGACCTCCACTACCTCTCAACTTGTGGTTATGCAAGGGCATCGATTCCTTTACTGATTAAGCAGTTTAGAATTTCTGTCACCTGCACCCCAGCCCGTCCTATGTCATCCATCCCAGGCAGGAAGAATGCAGAGCAAGCTCACAACACCACACTAAATCCTAAAGGGACAGAAACCAAATGCCATATTAAAAGCTACAAAGCCAGCGCTTAGGACATCGAACTTGTTTTGTTTGTTTGTTTTTTAGAGCTGTAAGAATGCAGCTTGACAGACTTACTGGAATTCATCAGATTCTCTTCAGTCAATGTAAATTTTTTATTACAAAGTCACGGAACGTGAATCCACTTACACTGTAAAACTCCTTCATGAATACTAACAAACTCTAAAATCGCAGCAAAGATGATGGCTCATAGCCACCAAAAACACAGAAACAAAAACATTAGCAATTCCACATTAAGGATCCCAATTTTTAAACATTTATGTTAACTTTCTGTGTCATTTTGTTTAGGAAAAAAAAACAACATCAATTAGCTCCATAGAAAATTTTGACTTTAAATCAAACCTGGAGCATTACAAAATAATCAAATAAAATAGGAAAGGAGTGCGGGAGTGAGCAGAACTGAATGACTGAAAGGATAGCCATAGGACTGAGTTGTTATTTAAGGGTGAATGTCGTGTGTGTGTGTGTGTGTGCGCGCGTGCGCGCATATGTGCGCGTACGCATCTACTGTTTACTCAGCATCAAAAATCACAAGGTAATGAATCCAAGGAGTTTATATGCTGTGCCAGGTATATGATCGATGAACAAAAACAGGATGTTGTCTTAGCCTTTACAGCTATGAAGACAGCAAACAATTCCTGTGTCCTTATTTTCATCCACCAGTTTTGAAGCCCTGTTCTGATGCAGAGCATTTCCCGTAACATGGTACACACAGCACTAATATCACCATCATCCAGGCTCCCCTCAAGCCCATAAAAGGCTGTAAGTCAGGGTATGTCAGTACAGAACAATTGTAAAGTTGAGGAAAGTGTTAAAACGCAATATATATCTATATATACGCATGCAACTGGATTAAAAAATTTGATGTACGATATTCCTGGACATAATGCTGTAAAAGTATTAACTGTCCCTATATTGATCTATACATTTAACAAAACCCCAATCAAAATACCAATAGGTATGGGTCTGGGGAGGGGTGGGAATCAGAGGAGGACTTGATAAAATATTTGTTAGTTATATCTAAAAAAAGAAACAAGAAACATCTGAAAAGAAAGAGCAAAGGGAAGGAGAATAGCCCAAACAGGTATTACAAGTATTATAAACAAAAAACAGAATAATGTGGTACAAACAGGACAATACAGGAAGCTCAGTGGAACAGAACAGAAAGTCCAGACACACACACATACACACACACACACACACACACACACACACACGGATTTGTCCATTGCTAAAAGTGGGCATCCAAAATCCGTGGGGAAAATGGATACTCAATAAACGATGTTGGTTACCATTTAGGAGAAAAGAACATAAATGGCTTATGAGTTTTAGTGAGATGGCTTTTAAAAGTCTGAAGCGGCAGGAGCCAAATAGCAGAACGGCATGCATCCACAGAACAGTAAGCTAAAGTCCTCTAGCAGTGTGCTCTCAACTTGTGGTTTTCTAAAAGGATTCCCAACAAGAAACGGAGCACAGTCAACTGGTGTGCCCTCTTCCACCCCGTTAGACTTCACGGCGTTTCCTTCACCCAGTCCTTAGGCCCTCTCTGTAGGCAGTATTTCTCTACCACCCACTCCCCCCAGTAATACAAAATGATTCTGGGAAGTTAGAAGATTTCTCTATACATTTTGGGATTCCCTAATCCCCCAGCTGTTGAAAGGCATCAATACGAACATTCTGAGAGTTGTCAAAGATCAGGAATAAGTCTTACCTGTTTCCTCTTTTCAGGGGGAAGTGATGGATCTCCATCCTACAAAGAAACCAGTGTTACATTTTATTTTTTTAAAATTAGATGCGTGTAGATTCAAGATATTGAACTGAACTATGAACTAAATTCAGACCCTCCCCTCTCCCGCCCCCTGCAACCAACAACGTGCTGAACCAAACTCAAATATACTTAAAAAATTTTAAACTATAAACTGAACCAGAGTCATTTTGGGAAAACCTCTAAGGAATCACTCCCAATTAGGACCAATCTATATATTTTCTAAACCTACGTGAGCCAAAAAAATAAACTGGATTTATCAAAATTACTTTTGAGCAGAGCCTAAACAGAGATAGCATTTCATTTGGTTTGAGTTGAGCTCCTCTTGTAAATAGATCCAGAGGAATAGTAATGGACACATACAGTGCACACACATACTTGAGTTTTCTCTATGGGCAGAACAATTTGGGGGGTGGGGATAGGATATGCTCAAAATAAAAGAAAATTAACTGAGAACTTCTAGTCCGATCAGACTTTTTGTCTTAAAAGGATTCAATTCCTCTGCCTCGTGTGCCACCTGGGAATACATAAATATGTCAGGTGAATGATAAATGCTCAGGAAATAGTACTTGTCTATCTGATGCTGTCCATATATAAGTCAACATTATTTTAACTTCAGGAATCTTTCTACTGTACTTCTGTGTTCCAGGACAGTTCAATGACCCCAGCACAGATGGTTAAATGTAAGCAATAGTGTCAGCACTTAAAAAAGAGATGGCATCAGTGAGAAAAAAATAAGTGAGAATGCAAAATAGCACTATGCAGTTGGTATCCTCCATTTCAGTAAAATTTGCATCCTTAAAAATCTTGCCATATGAAAACTAGAGAAAATCTAATTGCCCAGGAAAGGGAAAGGTTTAAAAATTATGGAAATATTACTATGCACTGTTTTAAAAAGTGAGTTAAATCTGTATATATGGCCTAGAGAGATGTCCAAAATAAAGTGCTGAGCGAAAAGAGCAAGTTTTAGAACAACATTTATATAAAGCTGTCCAATAGAACTCTCTGCAATGAGGGACATGTCCTACAGCTAACTGTCCAATATAGCAGCCACCATGGCAATGTTCTATATCAACACAATCCCATACGGTAGCCACCAGCCCCCCATGGCGATTGAGGGCATGAGATGTGGTAAGTGAGACAGTTTTCAATTTTATTTAATTCTAATTAATTCAAAATGAAATTTAAATAACCACATGCAGCGAGTGGCTTCTGTATTAGTGCAGGTTTATAACACAAATCCTTTTTAAAAAAAAAAAAACCTCCATACAGTTCTAAGTAAATAGGCACACGCGCGACACATTCAGATATGCGCGTAAGTTCACGGGCGCCAGAGCAAGCATCCGGAAGCATGTACTTATCAACTAGCAAGTGGGACTGGATGGTGGAGGAAGTAGGGTGATGACTTTCACGCCTTAATTTTTTCCACTTTGGAACTCTTTGTGACGTAATACGTACAATCAGCTCACGGAACTTCTTCTTGAGGGACTGGTGGCGCTCTCGAAGCTGATTGGCCATGAGTTTGTACTGGTCCCTTTCCTGCTGGCATGTGTCCAGCTCCTTGGAAAGGATCAGCAGGGCTTCCTTCTTACTCTCCAGCTTTCTTTTACACACCAGGTACTGCAGAACAAACACATGCAGACGACTGCTCAGAACCGTCAACAGGCCTCCCTCCTCTCACCTGCGCTGGGGTTCGCACACCCTGCGGAGTTGGTTTTGTTGCCTTTTTTGTTTTAAGAGATTGTATATCCAGAATCATTTGTCAGCCAATGACATGTGAGCCTAAAGGCTGCTAGTGTACCTGACATAGTCCCCTCATGACAGAACCAAACCCTTGGACATTCACGAACCTTGGCCAACTGAAACAGGAAAAATAATTGATAAGTTCAAAAGCAGAATCCTTTTTGACAATTACACAGATAGCTAAATAAATAGATAGTTGGACCCCAAATTTTATTTAAAAAAGGATTTAGATATCCAGGTAAGATGATGTAAAGTTCTATTAAAATTTTACCAAATGATATAACACGGAAAGATTTAATAAAAATTGTATATATTACTAACAATTATCTCTTGGGAGCAAAATTATTTGCATTTTTTTTATTCTTTATACTTTTCTGTGTTTTCCAAATGTTATAGAACACACCTATATGGCTTCTATAATAAAAAAAGTACAAAAAGTGTAATGAAAGATAATTTAATTGAACCATAAATTACTGCAATAGATTGTACCTGCCCATGCAACCCAGCAGACATTTTCTCACCTGAGAATTTTTGTTCAATAAATTCAGTCAGAGGTGTGCACCTTCTCCTATGATTCCAATGCAGACCCCCACCCCCCCACCCAGAGACCAATTTTATGAGCTAAGTATTTTAGTCACACTTTGAATTATCCCCCCAAAGTCGGGTGTATCTTGCTGGAATTCTTCCTCAGAGTTGCGGGATATCTTCGTCCCTCCATCTCCCCACTCCCCACACTGTGACCGACCCTCACCTGACAATCACCCACCACCTGGACCAGTGTGAGCCCGACTGGGATTCTGTCCTTTTATTGGATCTATAGTACCGTCTGGTGTTACTCACATATGTGAAATGTGGAACTTAAATACCTTTTGAATTTGCCCCGTAAAAGACCAAATTCAGAGCATTCATGAAAACAATTTATAGTTTCATTATACACTCTGACACGAGCACTTTGTCATTATGGATGCTCACACAAAGCAGAGACAGGATCAGTACTCCCATACCATTTGAGTCAATGCTCTTTCATGGACAAAAAGCATTACTCATATATAGTGCTTGCTTGGAACTGACTTTGTTAAGTTCAATTTCAAATAAATGAAAGGGGAAAAAGAGAGTTTTGTGCATTAGCACATTTTTTTTCCTTAAAAAAAAAAAGTAATTGCTTAGCTTCAAAAACAAAGGGGAAAGAAAAGCCATTCTGAGGCGGATTTGAGTTCTAAGAGAGGACATTTCCACCTTGGATGAATCTTACTCCTGGCAGTAATGAGGTTGGAATCCTGCCTTAAAACACCTTGGATTTTAACACTTTGACATCGTCTTCGTGGAGGCAAACGGTTCTGTTGCCACAGCGATTTCTCAAGAGTAAAATCCCCACCGAGTAAATATCAGAGGAGAGTAGCCCAAAAACCTGAACTGCAATGTCCTAAGGGAGGTATTGAGATTTCACAGGAAAAAATACCATTTACACACAGTTTAACAGAGCTGCGCTTGTGCCTTCAGTTCTTTGCCTGTGATCAGCGGCCTCGGTTGGCAGTGCTATTGGCATTGGTGGCACAGAAACAGTCACCTTTGTCCCTTCAATGTATCAGATCCAAATCTAAGGCCTCAGAAATATTCCGTGTCTTCCAACTTTGGGGAAGAAAATCGCAATAGTGTGGAGACGTTGTACAGTACGGCAGGCAAGATTAGAGTCACATCCAGTCTACTGAAGGGGACCAGGTAAGGGTCACCACTTATTGGCAAAGTAGAATTCAGGTTCCCTGACCTTGAACTGCAATCTCTTACGGTCCAAGAGAGAAGCCGTTTCTCTCCCAAGGCATGGTCCAAACAGGGCTTTGGAGGCTGCTTAAAGAGCAGTAATAGGCCTCCATTCCCTCTGGGTCTAAGACACCTGGCAGATGAAGAGGCACAGAGTCCTCTGCTAAGACCCAGTGACCTGGGATTTGAGGAGTGGCATCACTGCTCTTCGGGTCTCCTTCGGGCATGAAAACAGGACAATTATAAGCTCCATCAAAGGGTAAGTAACTGATTCTGTATAGAAGATGAAGCCACACCAAGAAAAGGGCGGGGTCTTTAGAAAGCCACTGCTGGACTGCTCTTTCTTTTGCTTAGTATGGTCTAGAACAGTGAATTTCAAAAATGTTATTCTACGTCATTTATTTTTATCGGCAGAACAAAACCTTAGGCTGAAGCCTCATTTATAAACAGCTCAAAGTGGCGCTGCTCTGGCTGAAGATGGGACACCTCCCCTGTAGTCCTGCCACCCTCGCGCGGCAGCATCCACAAGGAGCCCTGCTCTACATCACCCTGGGATGCTCGTGAAAATGCAGGTTCCTGGGTCCCAGCTCAGACTACTCACCCTCAGCTCCCCTCCATACTGCCTGAATCATGAATCTCTGGTGGCTGGCTCAGAAATCTGCAGTTAGCACATGACACAGGTGATTCTTACTCCATCTATACTTTGAAAACCCAAGCACTGGAGGTCTCCAGTATCATGGTGTCTCAAAAGTTAGAAACAATTAAAATAGTCTGGAGGGACTGATAGGCCAGCGGCAGCTCAGGAGCTCAGGGCAAGGCTCCGTCTCAGAGCCATTCCAGGGTTGTCGGAGCCACCTTTTATAGTGCAGAGGGGTTCTGAACAAAGTACAAGCACAGACTACATTTTACCATCTGGCCAAAGACCCTAAACATGCAGAGACTCATTAAAATATCAATAGAAACTCTGGGATGTGTATGTGGGGGTGGGGGCAGTGGGAATGTTACCAGAGAATGGGATGGAATTTCTTGTTATTATTCTAAAATGATGACACTTTAGTCCCTGTGGTGGCAACTGCTAAATTGTCACATTTTCTATCCCTCCAACTGGAAACAAACAAGCAAAAGCCTGGAAAGAGAGAAAAAGGTGTTGAAGATCCTTTTCCGTTGGCAGCGCTGGACAACCAGCAAGTGCATGGACTCAGCCTCGGCCTTAGAAGGGACCAGAAATGGAACAGAAAGCGAGATAAGCCAAGTCACTGAGCTTGGGACGTTTCCGCTTCTAAAGGAGGATGAATAAGTGTAGACGATGGAGGGGGTGGACAGCAGAAAATCACCAGGCAGAGTCGGGAGGCCTCTGTCCAGATGTGAGTCTAGCAATGGGCTAATCATGAACCGTTGGGACCCTGGGAAAGCCACAGAACGCAAGGAACAAAACAAAGTCACACCGCCTGGGCCTCAGTTTCCACACTTGGAAAATGAGTGGGGTTCCCAGAGTGCCCTCCAACTTGAGGAACCCATGATTTTAACATCCCATCCAATATCACTGGGGTGCTGGGGCAAACACTGCAGGGAGGGGCTCCAGGCCAGGAGGTATGTATGACTCACTTCAAGCACCTAGAAGTTGCTTCCTCTGCCTTGTCTAGGGCAGAGCCAGCTCAATATTTCCAAAGATCACCTGCAGAAGAGTGGCAGTTCCAGAATCTCCAGACAGCTGCGGCTTCAGGACAGCCACCTGGTTGGAAAGGGCGCTGGGGCTGAAGCTGTGTTTGCAATAACAATTTACAGTAGAGTGAGAAAAGGCTAAATGTCTGAGTGGTCAACATTAGTGCCCCTCTCCAGTATTTCTAGTTCTCCTTTCCTTGCAGGCGCTCGGAAGGACTATTCTTCCCCGTTGCCTTGGAGTAAGGCAGAGCCATGTATCTTGCTTTATCCAATAGAGAGGGACTGGAAGGAACATGAGTCACTTCCAGGGTAGAAGCTCCCAAGAGTCAAGGTATGAACTACCAGCAGAACCTGGATCATGGAACCAGCACAGCAGACAACTGCCCTGAAGAGTCATTTGGGTCCACAGAGAAATTTGCGTGATCCAGAAATAAACTTTTGTACTGTTAAGGTACAAAGATTTTGGGGGTGTTTGTTATCAGAGCATAACTTAGCCCATCCTGACTAATACAGTCCACAGCAAAGTGTAAGGGTAGGGAGGCTGATAGAGATCGTATCTGCCCCTGCTCTGTGCTTCTATTGAGTTACCACAATGATGAAGAGGAATAACATTATCACTATTATTATTACTATTAATAACAAAGTGAAAGTTGTATGGCAAATGCTTTCCACGTATAATCTCCTTTAATCCTCACAAAACCATAATGGGGTTTCTGTGTTATTATCACGTACATTTTCTAAATGAGAAAGTGAGACTGAAAGAGTTTACGTAATATGCCAAGGGTCTGGCAGAGCTAGAATTCGAACCCAGGTTTTTGTACAGCCAAGCCTGTGGAACCCCAATTCCTGACAAACCAAGCACTCAGTGAAGAAACAACCAGAATATTCATGGCATTGGTTACTACGTCTAGTTGGTATTTTCAGCATAGGGAAGCTATGAAAAGGGAATTTTAAATTTGGCTACTTTTATACCTAGAATCTCTTGACCCACCCCCTTCCAAAACTAGATGCAAGGCCTGAAGGAAGAAGGGAAAAATAAACAAAGGATCCACGAGCATCGCTCCCCTCTGCTCCTCCTGAGGGAGCCAAGGAGAGGCAACAAGGTTTTCATCCACTTAAATGACATGGGATAAAACTAGAGGCTGTTTTCTCAAAAGTGACTTGGTCCTAACAATTTTCTATAAGCTGTAGTTGCTCTCAATCATTCATTCAACAAATATTTTCTGGGTGCCTTCTATGTGTTAGGCACTGAGCCAAGCATTTGATCTCCTAAAGGGATAAATGGCCCTGGGGATTTTGAAATGGAAAAACATGATACTTGGATAACAAAACATAATTTCCACAATTCCTTATGGGTTTTTCTGAAACCCCCAAAGTTTTGAAAACTGAAAATGTGTTCGCATCCCGTTAGTGACCTCAGCCTATGTGAGGGTTTTTACTGTCTTTATGCCACTGAT